CCCCTGCCAGCCCGCCCTCAGCTGCCTGCCGCTCACGGGTGGGCCTGGGAGAAGGGTCTGGGTGGCGCCTCCGGCCCAGCTGCCGGCTCTGGAGTCTGGCCGGCTCTTCTCTTTTCTATCCAGAAACTTACTGTGAAAACCGGTGTTGGCCGGAGCTCAGCTGTCCCCCTGGGGCAGGTGGTCAGCAGCCCCTCCCTTTGGGGAGAGGAGGCCTCTCAACTAAACTAGACCAAAAGGTTCAAGGCCAAGAGAGCCGCGTCCTCCTTCAGGAGCCTCACCCGTCATGAGTCAGCCTCAGGACAGCAGGTTGAGGGGCCTGGCCCGACGGACACTCAGCTGCCCAGGCCTCCTGGGGAGGAAGGCACAGGCTGTGGGACAGGCCCACCCACCACGCCTGGTGGCTCTTCGGGGCCAGTCCCGGGCCCTGTTGCCCTGGCCACTCCCTGGCAGGGCAGCGCAGCTTTCTGGAGGGCAGGTCCTCCTATGGCTTCCACGGTCCTGGGGGCGAACCCTCAGGGGAGGCCCTTGAAGCTGGCTGCCTCCAACCAGCCCTTCATCTGCTTCTTGAGACAGCATCCCTGAGGGCCCACCCTCCTGGCCCAGCTCCCCAGGGCTCGCCTGTGCCCAGAGGCTCTCTCTCGCCTCCCTCCCGCAGGCACTTGCCACGCTGCGTCTTCACGTGGCATCCTCCACCCCAAGCTCCACAGCACGGTGCTCTCTGCTCAGCACTGGAGGGGCCTGGCCCCGCTCGGAGCTCAGTAACTGTTGGCTGCGATGCAGCCTGGAGTGCAGGAAGGGACTTTTGACTTCATTCCTCTGGTCACATTGTTACTTCCACCCTGAACTCCTCTCCTTAAGCTCTAGCTGTGGAAGCCTTGCCCCCAGCTGGACACCACGCGTCCCCGAGGCCTGGCGGCATCTTGGTCTAAGCTGGTGTTTGAGCCCGCCCGAGGGGTCTCAGGCATGACCCGGACTGTGCCGTGGCGCTGCCCTGGGGCCCTCATAGACGTGGGCCCTCATCACTCCAGCGCCCTCGGAGCTGCAGCTCTTGCTTCTCGGTTTCTGTTTTTCCACCAACATTTGCATGACGCATAAGAAGAGTCCGGGAAGTTTGAGCTCTATCGAGCCCGCCCCGCACCGTGGCCAGAGCCCAGGGGAGGCCCACGTGCTGACCCACGTGCTACTGGGTTTGAGTCCAGTGCTGCCACAGATGAGCTGTGGTCTCTGCCCAGCTCCTTGGCCTCTCTGGGTCCTACCTCCTCTTTTGGATGGGATGACCCCATAGGGGTGTTAAAGGGTTACCTTTGTTAACACAGGAGCCTACGTTATAAACACCACAGTAGTACTGTCTTCCCTTAAGCAACCTGCTGTGCGCTTCTGGCCAGGAAGGTCTTGGCTGCTCTGTGAAGTGGGTCGGAGGCTGAGATACTGGGGTGGGTAGCGGAAGGCACGTTCCAGCATTGCGGGGACCTTGCTGCTGTGTGAACGGTGGCACATACCGTTAGGGGAACGTGCACAGACCAGCAAACACAGTCTCAGGGATGGAAATGCTGAGTTGGAGACATCTGTGGGTGTCGTGGCAGGGCCAGGAGGGTCAGACTCCGGAGGGGGGCTGTAGCCATCACACAGGGAGGGTGGCGTCCCCACTGCCGTCCTGGCCACTGCTGCACTGGGTGGGGGAGGTAGTGACCACTGTTCTGTGCTTCTAGGATGACACGGAGCCCTATTTCATCGGGATCTTTTGCTTCGAGGCCGGCATCAAGATCATCGCTCTGGGCTTTGTTTTCCACAAGGGCTCGTACCTGCGGAATGGCTGGAACGTCATGGACTTTGTGGTGGTCCTCACGGGGTAGGTGGCTGGGTTCGGGGGTGTACCTGTGCATGCAGGCTGTGGTGTGTGCTGTCTGCCCGGATGGGGGACAGGCTGCAGTGTCCATGCTGGTGGTCCCCCATGGCCCCGCCTGAGGTGGACGAGGGTAGGGAAGTCTCTGATTGCCATCGTGTGGGATGGGGGGTCGCTTCTCTCTGAGAGGTGTCTGTGCTGCTTTCTTTGCTGAAAGGCAGACTGTCCTCAGGGGAGTTTGCTTATAGGGCCCATAGGCAAGTGGCCACCAGGTCCCGCTGACCTGGCGTGAGCCAGCCAGCTGCCTCTGGATCGTGGTCTGCCTTGGTGAGGAACTTTCCCTGGAGGTGGGGCTCGGCCTGTGCCCTAGGAGGGTCCTTGGTACTTTGAGCCTCGTTCCCTGCTGAGGAGGTCGCCTGGAAACATCTACCTCGGAGTGCGGGCTGCCTTGGGTGGGCCCTGTGTGTTGCTGTGTCCGGCTTCTAGCCCCAGGAAGGGGCTCACTCAGCATGTCCTCCCACCACGTTCCTCCTCAAATGGACCCTGGTGACTACCAGCTTGTGACTCCTAGAACGACCTAGAACAACCTGCAGGTGGGCGGGCGGGCCTTGTTTGCTGCAGCTGTCTGACGAGCGCTGGAGGCCCCTTCCCTGTTTCTCTGGCCGGAGGCTGACAGCTGGGGCTGGCCGCTCTGGGGGAGGGGGTGACAGCGTGGGGAGTTTGCTCCCACAGAACCTGTTTGCATGACCCAAATCCCAGAGGCTCCTTCCTGGGCCAGGGATGGCAGCCTGTTCTTCCCCGGGGCCTTGTGGTCCCCGGGAGGCTCAGAGCCCAGATTGGGGAGAAGAGAGTGGGCCCCACTTCAGGCCAGAACACTGCTTCCCTGGGAGTGGTGGTAGTGGCCGGGGCCTCCATCCACTACCCAGTGACCGCCCAGGGCTGCCTGGTGCATGTGTGGAGAGGGGCTTGGGGCTGATGGTACGGAGGAAGGAGGCAGCTGTGGAAGCCCCTGGGTCTGGGGCTCAAGCTCCATGAGCTCCCTGCATGTGGGGAAGAAACAGTCGGCTCAGTGGAGCTGGCCTCCTGAATACGGCCCTCAGAGTGAATCCTGGGGGGCCTGCTCCTCACCTCCTGCTCTTGCTGCTGAAGCAGCCTGTGGACCGGCCCCTGCTGGTGGGGGCAGTGCTCGCAGGACGGGGCTTGGGGAAGGGCCTTCTGAAGGCTGGGCCCGGAGCTGTCTGCGGCACACCCAACATGTCAGCCTCAGGCGGCTTCCGAGCCCTTCTGGGTGCAGTGATGCCGTCATATGCGTGGCATTGGGGCGGAATCTATGGAAAGCCCTCTGTGGCCCTGTGGAGACCTGTGTTCCACCCCACTGGTGACTCCCACCTGTGGGGGCTAAAGTGGGGGAGGCTGGTAGAGAGTGTCCCTCGGACGATGGGCAGCTCCCTAGCTCCCCACTCCCAGGGGTGTCCATGAGCCACTGTAGCTGTTTACATCTCTCTCCCTCTAGACTCAAGTCCCTGAGGACATGAACAGTGGCTTATTTTTCAGGGTGTCCCCAGAGCCTAGCTTGGGGCGGGCACCCAGGAGCGGGTGGTGAGCATCTGCTGAGTCAATGGTTTGTTGACGCTTAAGTGGTGTCAACTGGACCCACTGGGAGCTGGTGGCGGAGGCGGGACCCTGCCTTGGGGTGCTGTCCACGGTGCTGAGCGTCTGGGCCACTTGGGGGCAGGGAGGGAAGGCGGCAGCAGCCCGTGCCAAGCCCTGGGCGGGGCCCTGGGTCTTTCAGCACCTGCTGGCTCCAGGTCCCCCACTGGGAGCAGGAGGGGCCTCCCGAGGGTGGGCGCGCTGGGCCAATGCCTCTGCCCCGCTGGTCACACTCCTGGGCAGAGGTGAGGTTAGGGTGGGCTCACCTCCCTGGGAGCCCCAGTGAGAGAATCCCAGGGGTCCTGAGACCCGCTTCTCCAGCCCCCCGTCCTGTTGCTTCTGTCTTCTCTTCGTCCATGCCCTCTTCCTTCCTCTCCGCCTCGTTCTCTGTCTCTCTGCCTCTCCACGTCTGCTTCTCTGCGTCTTTCTGCCTTGTCCCGTGTCTCTCTCGGTGTCTGCAGGAGGAGAGCTGGTGTTGGTGCTGAAGGTTTCCAGCCTCCTTCTCGCTCTGCGTCTCACCCCTGGAGGTGACGCTGGGTCGTGAGGGGAACCTCCAGGTGGGGGAGACCTGCGTCCCTGGGGCTCACATGCAGGCCCAGAGTCACACAGGAGAGCCACTGTGCTGCTCCTGTGTGGGGCCCACGGGGACACGTGAACCTGCGAGTGTGCAAGGGGGAACCCAGGGAAGAGCCCTCGCCCTGGCCCTCCTGAGCTGCGGTCCCGGGGGGAGCGGGCCGGGGTGGGGGTTGCTCGTTACTTTGTTGTTTTGAATCAGGGTTTAATTGGTGCTCAGAGGGCTGGAGGCTGGGGTTGCGGGGACAGGAGAGCCACTGTGCTGCTCCTGTGTGGGGCCCACGGGGACACGTGAACCTGCGAGTGTGCAAGGGGGAACCCAGGGAAGAGCCCTCGCCCTGGCCCTCCTGAGCTGCGGTCCCGGGGGGAGCGGGCCGGGGTGGGGGTTGCTCGTTACTTTGTTGTTTTGAATCAGGGTTTAATTGGTGCTCAGAGGGCTGGAGGCTGGGGTTGCGGGGGCAGGCGACGCCCTGGCCTGCTGCCTGGTGAGGGCCGACTCCTCTGCAGAGGCTGGCAGGGCCCCTCTGCTGCTGAGGCCAGTGTGGGGCAGTGGAGATGTGCAGGGCTGGACCCACCCAGGCTCCACGCTGCCCTGGGAAGCCCCTCCGCCCCAGTAGGCTGGCCTGGGCACCCTCTTGTCTCTGCCCTGCCTGCTTAGGACTCAGGACCTGCATTAGTGAGTCTGGGGTGTGTCTGGGTCTGCGATCGGCTCTAACTTTGTGGGCACCTGCAGCCCTGGGGAGGCAGGTGTGAGGTCTGGGCTGGGGTCCTAACCGCCCGGGCTGGAGGGTCCTACACAAATCAGAGGAGTGCCTCAGAGGGACCCTGCAGACCTCTGGGAGATGTTGGCACTTCCTGGGGCACAGCAGCTGGTAGAGGTGTGCATGCCCTCGTGGGGCCGTCTGTGCCCTGGGGGAGCCCAGACCCTCAGCTATGAACACTGCTCCCAGCTGGGTCAGTCCACGGGTGACCACCCAGGACTCTCTGTTGTTCTCTTGGGTCGGGGTGAGGTCCTGGCCCACTCCTGTGCCTCACAAGGTAGTTTGCCCAAGAGAGATTCTGGGCCCAGGAGTCGGGCTGTATGGCCTGGGGTGCAGAGTGCTCTGATGTGGGGAGTCCCAGTGACTCAACCCAGCCTGAGCCCAGCTCACTGCTAGGACGAGGCTCAAAGGGTCTCAGGCCACGTAGAGAAGAAGGGTAGGGCGGCTGCTCATCCTGCCTGCCGTCCCTCTGTCCGTCCTCCTTTCCACGCACCCGCGGGCCCATCCGCCGTCTGCCCTTCTGCCCGTACGTCTGTCTGGCCCTTCTTCCAAGGCTCCCTCCACTCACCCACTATTCGCTACTCACTCATTTATTTGTTGAGCCTCTGCCAGGTGCTGAGGACACACAAGTGAACACACCGGCCCTGCCCTGGGCTGAGTTCTGCTGGGGACGCCTGGGCGGCTTCCCTGGCCCTCTGTCTCTTCTTCTGGTGGGTCCGCACTTCACTCAGGTGTGCTGCTTGTTGCGTGGTCCGTCCCTGTGTCCTGCACAGCTGCACCGCAGGGCTGAGAGGCACGGGGACCGGGCACGTGAGCAAGTGTGTGGCGATGAGTACTGGGATTTGCTTCCCGCATAGGAAACGGGGCAAGCAGTGCAGAGTGTGGCTTAGGGCGGCCGCGCTGTGTAGGGGTCAGAGAAGGCCACAGCATTAAGTTGACTTTTGAGCGGGGGCCTGAAGGACGTGATCTCTGAGAAGAGGCCATGGCTGGAGGTGCCGCTTGAGGGACATGGGAGTGTCGAGACCTTCAGAGCCTGAGACCAGACAGAACCCACAGGGAATGGGGAGACTGGGAGAGAAGGTGCCCACGACTGAGCCCAGAGCACCCCAGAGCTGACAGGTGGTGACTAGCCAGCGAGGTGGGTGGATCAGCAACGTGCCCTCGGTGTAGACTGTGTTTCAGGAGGGAGGCGATGTCCCCCCACAGCAGCGACTTGAGGATGGACGGCAGCGGGGGTTGTGGCTGGGCGAGTGGCCGGGGAGGTCTGGCGAGTACCTGCAGGCACCTCTTTCATCTTTTAGGGAGTTTTGCAGCAAAGTGGGTCAGAGAAATGGGACAGTGGCAGGAGGGAGGTGGAAGGCTGTTGTTTTAGTCCATTTCTGTTGCTTTTAACAAAATGCACAGAGCTCGGTGTTTTATAAAGAAAAAATTTATTGCTTATAGTTTCTGAGGCTGGGAAGTCCAGAGTCCATCTGGTAGTGGTGACAGTGACCCAGGGGTCTCACATTGCAAGATGGTGGAAGCAGAGAGAGACATGACAGACTCTCCTCATCTTTTAAAGCTCAGAACCACACCCCTGACCACCATTTTTAACCCATTCACTACTGCACGGTCCTACAGTCCAGTCACCTCTTCAAGGCTCCACCTTTCAATGACCATAATAGGATTTCCCACCCTCTTAACAGTCACAGTGAGGGCTAAGTTTCTAATATGTAAAACCTGGGGGACACAATTCAAGCTCCAGTGAGTTTTGGGGGGACATAATTCAATCCACTACATTCCACTCCTGATCCCCCAAAACTCACGTCCTTTTCACATGCAAATGCACTCATTTCATCCCCAAAGTCTTAACTTGTTTCAACTTAAAATTTCAAAGTCCCATCTGTGAAATCAATACAAGTCATCTACTTCCAAGACACAATGGTGGGACAAACATAGGGTACATATTCCTGTTCCAAAAGGGAGAAATAGGCCAAAAGAAAGGTGTAACAGGTCCCAAACAAGTCCGAAATCTTGCAGCAG